AGGACATGGAGAAGGCTGACCTAACACCTCAGCTCAGAACAAGTTCATTCAGGAGTTTATTATAAAGAGACGGATGCTGCACTGTGCCTTTAACAAGGGGAAAGAGACTGCAAGACGTCTTCTTGCACGGTGTCGCTGCTGCAAAAGTTATACCTGTGAAAAGAGGAGTTATAGCATGAGGTTTGTTAACTGGTGGAAACACGACCTTGAATTAGTCAACAATACCCCTGCTCCCTCCCCCCAGTTCCCTTTGACTGAAGAGCTCTATGACATCAAACGGGAAGAATACTGCCTGTCCTTATGGCCTCCTAATGTCCTGAAGGGGAATCAGTCACATCAAACCAAAGCTTATAATTGGGGTCTCTCCTGGGCCTGCTGCTCCAACCTAGCCATCAATTCCAGGGGCCAACAATGTCCCATCTGGTGGCCCACAGAGGATTTTCTCTGTTCAGTCAGGATCAGAGGGACTCTCATACAGTGCCTATGGGAATGTATAATGTCCCTTTGGAAACAGTCTCACAGTTCCTCTACAGGTTAAACAGAGTTGTCATTGTTATGAGCCTAGGTGTATCCCCACAAGAATGGAAACACAGGTCCACATAAAAACTTACATGTGAATGTTCATGGCAGTATTATAAGAGCCCCCGAGTAGAAACAACCCAAATGTCCATCAACTGGTAAGTAAAATGTGCTATGTGCAAAGAATTGAATAGTATTTGGCAATAAAAAGAATGAGGGGTCAGTGGGATAGCTCAGCGATCTAAAGCACCTGCTTACACAAGCTTAGGCAAATGTGCAGCAGCTGCGGTTTGATCCCTGACACCACATGCCATGCCAGCCCCACCCCCATGGTGGACTGAGCTTCCACAAAAATAAACAAATAAATAAGAAGAATGAAGAGAGGGTGGACATCAGGGAGGGAACACTGGACTGGGCATCAGAAGACCCGTTTGTGCTCACACTCATATTCTGCACCTGAGTTTACCAAGTAGTGGCCTGTCTACTGTCATACCTGCCCCTTCCAACAACACATCAAAGAATCAGAATACTTATTTTATAGTCAATAAAGTAAAACAGCAGAGCGAGCGAGCAAACGAAAGAAAGAGGAGAGAGAGAGAGAGAGAGAGAGAGAGAGAGAGAGAGAGAGAGAGAAAGAGAGTGTGTGTGGCATTGAGGACTGGACCCAGGTCCTTCACACTGAGCTATATTGTCAGCCCTTTTGTATTTTGAGACAAGGTCTCACTGAGTCACTAAGTTGCCCAGGCTAGAGTTGAACTTGGAGTTCTTCTGCCTTAGTGCTGGTTTCTAGGTAGACATTACCACATCCCACTCGCAGTACATGCTTTTGAACATGTGAAGTTCAAGGTTTTTCATTTAGTTTCTCGATGTGACCTTACATAAGATACTTGACTCTTCAAGTGTCATTTCCTTGTCTTAAAATAAGAGACAGAAATCTTTATTTCATTCAGACTGTGACATTCCATTATTTTCTGATTATGCTCCTTTGGGGTGCTCTTTTCTACAGTTCAAAAGCAGGTATGTTCTCTCCTAACTCCTACCAAGGAAGATTCTACTCCCTCATGTTGAGGAGAGTTTGTGCTTGAGCCAAACTTCCCTTACAGTTCGCATCTCTCCCATGTAAGGTCTCCAGGCAAACTACTCTACATTAGGAACCATACACTGACCAAAACTGAAATTAGGGGACTCCACAGTCTCCTTAACCACTGCCAGCAACAACTCCCCAGATGATCACCTTGTTGTTTGAGAGGAAATGGTCTCAAGGTTGCATGTTCATTAAATACATGCTCACAACCAACACATTTCCACTCCCAAGTTGAATATCGCCTGAGGGAAATGTCTGATCAATATAAATCAGATGCATAGATGGAGAGTTGAGATGAATAGTTGGGTAGATCAATGGGTGGAAGGGAAGATGACAGGCTGGCTGGATGTCCACAAGGATGAGGAAATAGATGTCTGAATGGATACAGGGACATATAGGACAAGATGGAGAAATGGATGGATGGGCAGATGAATTGACAAGTAGGTGGATACACAGAAGTGAGTGGGTTATTGGATATATGGTTGTATGCACAGACAGACTGATACATAAGTACAATCAAACTTAGATGGAATAAAAGATACGTACTCGGTCCCATATTCACCGCTCTGCACTGTGATTTGGGAAGCCCCCAGTTTGGGATGGAAGAGATTTATCGCATTACTATTCCAGAGGAACTTAACGTTCTGGATTTCTCCCACATTGAAGTCCACATCAATGTCATGGGTGTGCCTGGCATATGGTTTGAGGGATCCCCTGAAAATATAGACAGAAAATATCAGCTGGGTGGATGAATATCTGGATGGCAGCAATTATTGTTTCTCGAAACAAAGGCTTCTTTCGTTGGTTTTCTGCCAACAGCTGGAATGATTCCATACATCCAGGAAGAGTCAAACACAAATGTATTTGCGTAGGACACATCTTAACAAATGCTGGACTTGAGAGTACTACTGTTTTAGTTTGTCTCTAGAGAGAAATGATGTATTTAGGGTATAATAATACTCTAAGTCTGCTGCAGGGCCAACCAGTACAATGTCTTTTCTTTAAAGATATACGAAGTCATATTAAATTATAAAAATTAGTGCAAAAACAGAATCTACCACACAGGTTCTTCATTCATCACCTGCTTACCAAGCTCCTCACAATCTAGCTAGCATCTGCCAGGGGTCAAGGCCCTCACAGCAACTGTTATCTAACCTCAGGCTTCACGTGCCCCCATGTGTGTGGGCACAGTGTGTGTTGGAGGAGGAAGAGTTGTCATGTAGCTTCACCTTGCCAGAAGAGAATTTGCTGTTCATAAAACCTAAGTCAGCGATCAACATTCGAAGGGAATTGGCCCATGACTCATTCTAAATAGTGAGTCCTTTTCTCTGGGACTCACTATTTTTTAGTAAAACGGTGATATTTTCAATTTTTGATTAATACACATTTCCAGTACATAATGACCATCCTCATCATGGGGAGTTGATCCACATGTTAACACATCTCAACTCTTTTGGTTTCTCCTTTCCTCTACGCCATCCCCACTCTCTTGAACTCTAAATTCCCTTCCCATTTGCCAAATATCTATCTCCCTGTTTCCTACTGTCCTTTGTTTTGCTGTTTAAATAATTTTAAAACAGGACTACTGAACTAAATGAGAAGACTTCTTTCTAGCTCTAACAGTCCAGGATTCAATGGTTCTGTAGAACAGATGCTGCATTTAAAATCAGTTTATACTCAATCTTTTATGGATCATCTATGATGGAATGTAGGGCTGTTTCAATTCACTATAGGACTTACTTGAAGATCTCGTATTGCTTTGAGTTTCTGTTCCTTCCATATAAAGCAATCTTGATGGAGCCTCTCAGTCTCTTTTCTCCAGACAGCGTGACTGACACCTTATACCTCCAACCTGGTCAGAGACGTACACTTGGTTCAATGAACTTGTCTTGTGGATACCATGACCCCAAGCATCACTGCTTCCAAGTACTTGCAAGTCAATGGACTCAGTGTTTGTGTCCCCTTGAATTTATATGCTGAAACTCTAACTCACTGTGAGACAATAGTAGGAGAGAGGAACCTTTGGGGGATAATCAGGTGATAATCAGGTAACAGAGTGGAGCCCTTGCAAAGGGGAGCAATGAAAAACACCCCATGAGGGCTCTCTGGCCTTCTTTCTACTCAGTGGGCGGGTGCAACAGGACAGTGATATGCATCCAAACCTCCTGGTCTTGAACTTCTAGCCTCCAGCATGGTCAGTAATATGTTACTCTTGTTTGTATAGCACTTAGTATCTGGTATTTTGTTATAGCAACCTGAACTAGGACTTGGATGGACATGGCTTTTTCGTGCGGTTTTTCACTTAAGGTGTCTCAGAGGGTTTTTCTCTTCAGTTCACAGAAACTCGCTCTCTCTAAAAATGACTATCATCATGTTTAATCTATGGCATTGGGCTCTTTTCTAATCGGTGGACATTAGGATTTCCCCCTCATTCTTTTGTGATTAAAAACAATGCCACAACGAGCATCTTTGTCCATGACTCATGCACACAAGGAACATTCTGGGAAGCAGAGTGGCTGTGAGACTTTATAGATACTGCCACGCTGCTATGTTTTATGATAAGTACAGGATTACATGAAATACTGTATGTGAAGTGTTTTGTAAGGTGCTGCATATTTTAAAATGGAAAACTCTTTTGGTAAATAAGGCTCTTCTCTACGAACATGATGTGATATTGTTAGAGAATTAGTATTGAGGTCTTTGCTGTCTTGTGTTTTTGAGTGAGAAGCTAGATAAAGTAACATCAACCACAAAACAGTGAGCTTGTGCACAGTGCTAGGATGACAATTATCACCAAGGTGACTGCTGCACTTGCGAGGATTTTGTCTCTGCTGCCCTCTTCCTCAGTTTGTAGCCATGGCCCTCCTGTGCCCCGGGGTGGGTAGACATGTGAGCCAGCCAGAGCCCTTCACTGTTCTTCACTCTGCTCATCAATATTACTGTTTAGCACGAGTGAAAATGAGACCCAAGGCACGTGCCAGGCTACTGTCCCAACATCTCAGCTCAGATTGGTGGTGGCTGAGTTTCTGTCGATTGCTACCAAAGATCCTGACTAAATTAGGCTGGTACCCCTTTCAAAATCATTTGCAAGAATTTTAAGGGAAACAGATTTTCTTTTTTTATACTATGTATTTTTATGGTCAAATCTCTTGTTCAAATTAACTGATATAGGTATGCCTCATTGACCAAATAAACATGAATGTTTGCTTTCAATAAACTTTAATAAATTAAAAAAAGAATTTTTAAGTGAGTAACATGGAAACTTACGAGTAAAGTTACCACTGTCTCCTGTGTTCAGAAAATAGGTTTGCTCCACACCACTGGTTTTCCCCGGGAATTGGTCAGCATAGTGCCCCATTTTGGGGCATCCTTCGGCTGGACAAGGGAAACAGCCATCCTAATAGAAAAAAAAATAATTTGTCTATTAGTAGTAGGCCTTTGACATACACACTGTATCAGTCCACTCACCTCATCGGTTTTATCTATCTTTATTATCTCTCTGCCCATCTACCCACTCATTTCCCATCCATCCTTCCATCCATCCATCCTTCCATCCATCCATCCTTCCATCCATCCATCCATCCATCCATCTACCCATCCATCCATCCATCCATCCATCTACCCATCCATTCTCCCATCCCACTGTCCACACATGCATGCATCAATCTACTCATATGCCTACGCTGAGAACTGTGTTAGACCCTGCAGAGTACTCAACAAAAAACTTTAAAAACTTAGGGTACAATAGGAAGACAAGTCATATACATGAAGCAATGAATTTAAAATATGACAGAGGAATAGAAGCAATGTATCTAGGGAGAAGTAAGTGGGAAAGACAATAGCTATTTTAGAAAAGTGGGCAAGGCGAGACAGTGATCATTTTCACTTTAATGTGCATTGTTTTTCCAGACTACTTAGCCCCAGTTCAGTGCTCCCCAAGTGGGGGTTCATTAATTAGGCTTTCAAACAGGTGAGGATTTTATGGAACAGTGTATTTTCCCTCTTTCTGTTCTTGACTTGACAGGCACCCCAAGTTCATGTGTGCATAGCTGCCTTGTAATTTGGAGAGTATAAGACAGTGCTGGAGGCTGTGTTACTGCACACAGAACAATAGCAGCTAACATAGCCAGCGCTGTTTGCTGAATACTCACAGCCTTGGGAATCGTATATCAGGTCTCTTTGACTTTAGTTCATTTTAGAATGTCAGATAAAAATTAATTTTGAAACCTGTTTTTATCTTTGAGAAAAAATCTTTTAAAATGTTCAATTTTTGCAACCCTTAGTATAACAACTGATTCAATTAAGAATCATCTATCGATACTCAAACCTTTCACTGGGCTCCAATAGAAACTAAAACCCTTCCCGTAATCAGATTATTTAGGGTAAATAATACCTTTATAATGCAAAAATCTGGCAGATAACCAACTTAACCCAATAATCAAAACTTGTACAATCAAATAAATAGTGGAAAAAGTGCTAATACATAAATACATCAAGTGGCTGAATTTCTATCAAATGCTTCCAAAGGTCCTGACTTAATGAAGCTGGTACATCTTATTTAGACAAACTGTGCTAGGCTGTGACTGATGGAGAAGGATCTAATGTCACCCACAGAATCACAAGGAAATAATCAGCCAATTTCAGAGTATGGGATATTCTACCAAACATCTTGTCTGGACTCTTCATAATTTTCCATGTCCTGGAAGTCCAAGAAAAAAACGAGAAACGGTTTGAGATTGAAGGAGGTAAAGAGAGGGCAATAAATGCAATGTGACCTTTTAGAAAAGGAAAAGGTAGGAAGAAAGGAAGGAGGGAAAAGGGAAAGAAAGATGGAGGGATGGAAGGAAGGAAGAAAAGGGAAAGGAAGACAAGAAGGAAGGAGTCAGACATCTCTAGAGAACATTATTGGGCTAACTGGAGAAGTTGGAGTATGGACTATATATTAGAGAATGTTAGCATATCAAAGTTAAATATCTTAAGCCTTGTACTGTAGGATGATCACGTTCTAAGGAGACAAATGCTAATGCATTCATGAGTAGAGCATATTCATATCTTTAATTCACTTTCACATAATTCAGGAGCAAAGTGACCGGAAGGATGCACACACATACACGATAGTAGCAGTTGTGCACCTGGTGTTGGATGTAACAGGCATTCATTCACATGTTCTTTTCAGTCCCTTGCAGACTGGAAGTTGTCATAAAAGAAAAGGTGGCACCATAAGTGGGCCCAGCACACCCAGCTCTACGTCTCTCCCTTTGGTGTACTCTGTCACTGCAGGAAGAAAGGTCTGGAAGCCTCAGCTTTTCCATGACCTAGAGTCACACACGTCTCTTGTTCGAAGGTGTGAGGACAAAAGGCCAACAGCATGGCCACCACCATCTTCCTGGGCCCATGTGACCTACCTCCTGGAACTCCTCATAGGAGGCACAGGGGTAGCCCACGAAGCCATCGGGGTTGAGGATGCTGCTGGAATAATACTTGTGGCTCCGCAGGTGGTTGCAAGCGGCAAGGTTGTTGATTCCTGAGAAAGGCGAGGCCATAGGAACTGGGGGAGGTCTTTTCCCTTTGAACGGTGGCTCCTTCTGACCCTCTACCTTTCATGATTGGGCAGTCCCTTGAAGGACGACAGAGGGCCAGCCAAAGCCGAGGGGGACAAGTCTTGATTCACAGCACTTTGTCCAGTGCCCTAGGGGGTGGCCATGTCACATATTTGAGGAGGCTGGAAGCCAGGTGTGGGTAGAGAGGCAGAGGAGGTCAGGTGGATTCAGAGAGAGACAAGAGACAGAGAAAAGATAGAGAAGAGACAGAGAGAAGATAGCAATTGGATTTTTTTTCTTAAAGCAACATATGGGGAGATAGCTCAGTGGCTTAAGTGCCTGCCTGTGAAGCGCAAGTTTGAGTTTGATCCCTGGTACCACATACTGTGCTCGTCCCAGAACCCCTGGTACACTGCTCTAGCCCTGAAGCTATTACAGGTGGTGCATGCCTGCAATGCCAGCACTGGAGAGGCTAAGACGGAAGGATCACTACGAGTGAGCTGTGTAGGTGACCCTGTAATAT